CTTATAGGGGCATGATGAGCCTGCAGTTTCGACCCTGGGGTCATGTGGGCGCTGAATTGTTTAAGTCTCCGAGTATCTCGGGATGTATTTGGCGGAGAGGCCTTTGCCGTGAATATGCCGAAATAGCCTTTTTCTAAGTATGAAATGCCGGAAAGATATTCTTTATTGCTTGGCATAGATATAGGCCATGAATACATATTGTCTCTTTGCTGCGAGCTCGGCCCACTTGGGTACGGCTCCCCTGATCATCTGATCCGTTTACATGATTTCGTTTTGAAACTTAGCATGCCATTTATTGGCCCTTCCGAGGGATGGTGCCCTTAAGAGGAGGTCATCGCATGTCGTCTGACTGTATAAGAAAGGACTGCGATCTCATTGGATCCCTTTCTGGGAGTACGCTGCTATGCTAATAATCTTGCTCGGGGGACCTTCTTTAAGTTGGAATCCCAATCGAGGGAAAAAAGCTCGACAGGTCCTGCAAAGGCCCCGGATCTCTGAGTGGAGTTCAGAACTTCTGAATGCCTCAGCTGATTGCCTGCATATAGGTTAGTAAAAGAAAGGAAACAACAAAGGAGCGGAGTAGTTCTTCCTTGTTGCGGGATGCATATGCGACGTTTCGAGGCATGAGCCCTGATACAGCTTTCTTCTATGTTCAACTAGGCTTGGCCGAAGATATGGTTCTGCTTACCCTTTGATCACTTCGAGGGCGGAGGCATTGATGCCGGCGATGGGTCATGTGGTGAGGAATTTCCTCTCGTCACGAGTAGCTCCTTGTTGAATGCTTTAGTCCCACCTTTGTCGGGGAGTTTCATCCCTTTGGCGAAGTGGGGTCGAAATCGCCTTTGGGGGGTATGCTCGTTGTCATTGAATGGAACGACCGTGGTTGGCGGGCTCGGTGTTCCAGTTCGAGCTCAGGCGGGCTGTATAGAGGGAGCGGCCATCCTGATGGTTGTGGCGATCGACATCTGGAATCCATCAAAGATTCGAGGTGTGGGGGTGATTTGGTTCGTTAGTCTGAACTAGCCTATTGGTTTTGGCCTGACACCATCGGTATAGTTGATCGAACCACGTATACTCATAAACACATGCTGTACTTAAAATAGGTTAAATGAGAGAGGGGGTTACCAACGCGTTAATACGAGGTCGAGGCGAAGACTCGGCGTCCCTTTCCTTGGATGCAAGGGTGTCCTTTGGGAATATCCCTGAACCCGTCTTTTCCTGACGATGAGCACTTTCACTCTGCATTTTATGGATCTTTGAAGGGTGCCACCACCCCTTTACTATTATGGCAATATGTCATGCCTTATCAGCTTCGTTTATCCCGATCTCCTTCCTCCTGGGAGCTGGCTTCGAGTCTGACCGCTCAATGATACTTGATGGCGACCTCTATTGAATAGCATAGTTGTCGTTCTTTTGAGTCGGTGACCGTGTGCACCCTGCGGTTCCTGTGCCGGTCCATAGTTCTCTTGAATGGTTTTGGTCGAATAGGTCCGAGCCACCTGACATTCCTAAATTCGTTTATGGTGATCACGATGTCTGGTATAACAACGCTGAAATCGTACTCGGCTGGGCAGGGTTTCTCTGCCAGCTGTGCCTTGTTGAATCTGGTACCATTGGAGGTTCCTCGAGGGTGCTGTCCTCGGGCTATTTCCCTATTGTTGCGAGGTAGGTTGCATCTCGAGTCTTTCCTTCCATTCGCAACACACGGATGATACCTCTATCCGTTTGGCATCAATTTCTTTATCGGTAGTCTGCTTGGATATACCGAACCCGAGGAGGTTCCCAGATGGTTGTCCACGAAAGTCGGTTGCTGTAAGAGTTTCCACAAACCTGATTTGATCATTTCGAAGCGATTCCCAAGCATCCTCACTGCGGCATAGTCGGCTACCGATCCGTCGCTACTTGATCTCTTAGGTACTAGCTCGACGTAAGGAAATGTTTCTGGCGCTATTGCACTGAGAGTCTCTGGGCGAATTTGTAGCCGAGTGATAGCCAACTGTCGTGCCTACAACATTTCAAAAATAACATGAAGAATAACTTCCTGTTCTACTCGGGCCGGGGGTTTTTTGAGCTTCCTGTTGGTCAACACGCTGTATGCTATCATTGGTGCATGAGGCTTCATTGACCTGTTGTGCGCCTTGCAAGCCCGCGTACGCTTGAATCGATCTAAATGCGTTATCGGGGTCCTGCGGTGTCGCGCCAACCTCTGGAGCAGCCATACTGTCTTCGCTGTGACTTTCGAGGTAGCCATTCTCGATTTTGCTTACCGAGCTGGGCGTTATCTTGAAATCAAAAGATCTTGGGCAATAAAAAGTGTGAAATATAACGTGTGTTTGTGTGACGAAACCAGCAAGAAAATAATCACTATTATTTTTAGCCCCACGGTGGGCGCCAAACTATTTACCGTGAATATGGTAACAATAATTAAATTTGTAAATGGGATTCTAAAAATACATGATCTATTTGTGAGCTAGTTTTTAGAGCAGTTGATGCTAAAAATATTAAGTTTAACGATGGAGCTCGAGTTAAAAAGAGGCAGTAACCAAACTGAAGGGGGGCTATTGCCCAGGTGTATAGATAGTCAATAGGACCTCGGGGTCGACGTTAGTATCGATCTCGAACTATCGGGGGCAGTCAAGAATAGGGTAACATGCAAGGATATGATCAAGCAGGGATCTATGTTACCAATATTGAGCAAAGTAGTGAAGAACAAATAAGAGAATGATAAATTCTAAAGCGGCCTCGGGCCAGTGGTAGCGAACAACTTAGAAGAAAAGGGAGAGAGAGATATTATTGCACTTGTGGAGAGAATGAAGCAACATCAGCCCTCTACAAAATGGTATGGGTTCCCCTTATATAGGCGAGGGAACACGGTATGGTACAAAATGTATTAAATGTAAAGATACGGGGATGAGACGACTAGACAAGACACTAGAGTTTATTGATTCTAGCTGTTTGCCTCGGGAGTACCCCATCTTCGTAACTCTTGCTAGGCCGCAGACATATCCCTTAACCTCAGAGCCACTGCAGGGCCGCGTATGATCCTCGAGATAGGGAGCCCAATCATGATCCCACAGCCTCCAAATGCTATCATGACATTCCAAATATACCTTAATGGCGGGAAATGGATTCCCCTGACTTCACTGCATACAGATAATGAGCTTCTGCACAATTTAGGACTAGTTGAGACCAATGTAGTTGACTTCACTGCCTTCCAGATTTAGGGTCATGCCAAGAGGTGGTGTAGATTTATAAGATGATTCCACCAGTAGGATCATCTCCTCTTACATGGGCTCAGTTTTCCATGGTTCTTTTGGAGCAATTTGTGCCATGCACTAGGAGAGAGAAGCTAATGAGGCAATTAGAATACCTACAATAGGGTCAAAATATTAGTTACTAAGTGTAAGATGAGGCTAGTTTATCATCCACCACCAGCTAGCCCAGGAGTTTTAGTTCAGTCCTCATTTGGTGTACTCCCAGCTCATAGCTCTTACCCCTTCCCATCAGTTAAGGGTTCATCTGTACCAGATTTTTCTAGTGGTTATTCTAGTTCACGAGGTTTGAATCAGGCCCCAAAGTCATTTTCGGTTAGAGGTTTCTATGAGTGTGGAGAGCTAGGGCATGCCAAGAAATACTGCCCCCGTTTTTGCGGAGGTTTCGTGTAGCATGGGGGTAAAAGTATGATTCCAGCACCAGTTGCTACATCACCCGCTCAACAAACTCAGGGTGGAGGTCATTCCGGATGTGGTCATCCTAGAGGGAAGCTTAGTCTAGTTAAGGTCAGGCCAAATTTAATGCATTTCCAAGGAGGATCGAGGCTGTTGCTTCTAATGCAGTGATTACAGCTTTTGTTTCTGTGTGCCACAAAGATGCTTTAGTATTGTTTGATCCTAGTTGTACTTATTCATATGTTTCATCATACTTTGTTTCTTATTTGGATATGCCTTGTGGTTTTCTCGATGCTCTTGTATGTGTTTCTATAACTGTTGGTGTTTCTATTATGGTGGATAAAGGTTATCGATCATGTGTGGTTTTGAGACTAGAGTGGACTTCTTATTATTAGATATGATTGATTTTGATATGAACTTGGGTATGGATTGGTATCTCCGTACCATGTTATTCTTGATTGTCATGCTAAGACCCCGACGTTGGAAATGTGAGGGTTGCCGAGGTTGGAGTGGAAGTGTTCTCTTGGTTGTACTCCTAGTAGAGTGACTTCATTCTTAAAGGCTCAACGGATGGATGAGAATGGATGTTTGGCGTATCTATCTTTTATCAGATATGTTAGTGCTGATACTCATACTATTGAGTCACTCCAGTAGTGAGGGAATTTTCGGATGTGTTTCCTGCTGGCCTACTAGGCATGCCACCGGAGAGGGATATTGATTTTGGAATTAATTTGGCACCAGACATGCAACCTATCTTTATTCCTCTATATTGTATGGCTACAGTAGAGTTGAAGAAATTGAAAGAACAATTTCAAGATTTGTTGGATAAGAGGTTCATCAGATCTAGCTTTTTGCCTTGGGGTGTGCCGGTGTTTTTTGTAAAGAAGAAGGATAGTTCTATGAGAATGCGTACTGACTATCGGCAGTTGAAAAAGTTGACCATCAAGAACAATTATCCACTACCACACATTGATGATTGAAAAAGTTGGATTAGGGGTGCCAGAGTGTTCTCAAAGATTGAGTTGAGGTTGGGGTATCACCAGTTGAAAATCAAGGCTTCAGACATCCCTAAGACTGTTTTTTGGTATCGTTATGAGCATTATGAGCCTTTGGTGACGTCGTTTAGGTTGACTAAATCCCCAAAAACCTTCATACATTTGATGAACAATGTGTTTCAACCTTATTTCTATTCATTTTTCATTGTATTCATTAATGATATATTGGTATATTCCCGTAGTTAAGGATCGTGCTCCAGACTTTAAGGGAGAAAAAGCTATATGCTAATTATCCAAGTGTGAGTTTTGGTTATACTCATTGGCATTCTTTGGTCATATGGTGTCTAGACATGGGATCAAGGTGGACCTAAAAAAGATTGAGACAGTTCAAAGTAGGCCTATACCTTCTGCCGCTATAAAGATCAAGAGCCTCTTGGGTTTGGTTGGTTACTATTGTCGCTTCATAGATGGATTTTCATCTATTGCAGCCCTATTAACTAAGTCGACTCAGACGGGCAATCTATTCAGGTTGTTCAATGAGTGTGAGAAAAGCTTTCAGAAGCTCAAGATAGCTTTGACTATAGCTCCATTGTTGGTTTCTCCTTCGAGATCAGTGTCATTTATTGTTTATTATGATGCTTTATGGGTTGGCATTGGGTGTATGTTGATGGAAAACAGTAGGGTGATTGCCTTCGCATCACGCCAGTTGAAGCCCCATGAGAAGAATTTTCTAGTATATGATTTGGAATTAGTAGCTATTTTTCACGTGCTCAAGATTTGGAGGCATTACTTGTATGACATGTCTTCTAAGGTGTATTTAAATCATTGGAGTCTCCAACATTTATTTAAATAGAATGCTTCGAATTGGAGGCAACAGAGGTGGTTGGAGATGTTGAAGTATGACATCACCATTCTTTAATCATTTGGGGAAGGACAATGTGGTAGAAGATTCCTAGAGTGGAAAGACAAAGAATATGGGGAGTTTGGTATTTATTCTACCTGGGGAGAGTCCTTTAGCTATGGATGTTCAGGCTTTTGCAAAAGATTCATAAGACTGAATATATCAAAGCCTAGTAGGGTCCTTGCGTGTTTTGTATCTCATACGCCCTTGGTTGAGCGTATCAAGGCTCGTTAGTATGATGATCCCCATCTGCTTGTCCGTAAAGACACTATGCAGCGAGGTAGTGCTAATGAAGTGACTATTGGTGATGATGGTATTTTGCGGCTTCAAGGCCAGATTTGTGTTCCTAATGTGGATGGGTTGAGAGCGTAGATCTATGAGTGTTAGGCCTCGTGAATATTTCTGCTCAAAAACCCGAATCTCGTAGTGCCAAGTTAGGATCATGTCTTAGAAATTCATAAAATTCTTCTGGACCCTTTGGATTGATCTGTGCATTAAAAAGTTAAGGAATTATATTTTCCAGAAAAGCGCATTTCTCCGGTCCATTATGCGGTCGCATAATAGCTATGCGGACCGCATAATTGCCGCAGAGTCAGGCAATTTGATTGTTAATTTGAGGAAAATTATGCGATCGCATAATCAATATGCGGGCCGCATAGTCATCACATAATCCCCTTGGGTTTTTTGTGAGAAGCAGTTTTGTGGTGCATTATGCGACCGTAAAACAGGAATGCAAACCGCATTTTTGTCGCATACCCAGATAGTTTGTTTAGATTTTTGGACAATTTTTGCGGTCCATTTTGCGGGCTGCGTGTCCATTAGGCGATCGCACATGCGATCATTGATTGTGTCGGGGCTCCTATTTTCTAACTTTTAAAACCCAACCCCATCCCATTAAAAAAGACCCATTAGACCTCTTTATGTTATTTTTACTGCAAATAGAGTGAGAGAGGGAGCTCTAGAGGGAGAAACTAACTCTCAAACCTTTCCAAATCTTTGAAGACTTTCAAGCAAAATTTGCTAGATTTTTACCCCAAGAGGTAAGAACTTGAGCCCTAATCTCTGGTTTCGAAATTCACACTAGATTGAGTAATTAGCTGTGGGTTCATGGGTATAAAAATGGATTTTTTTCTTGCATGCATAAGAGATAACAAGGTATGGGGAAGTTGTGAGCTAAAAAGATAGCAATTGGGGTAAAAGATGATGACAATCTCTTACAAGAGGATCCTAAAATCACAATGCACACTTAGTGCTTGATAGTATACCTAAACGAGCTAGAATCTTAATCATGTATCTAATTCTTGGTTCAATTTGTAATTTTCATAAAATAGATTGGAGTTGCTAAGAATCCCAGAATTTTGTAATAATTTAAGGAAAGCTCTATTGAGGTACGTATGGCTAAAACCCCTTTTTATTAGAAATCGAGCTCCGTTGGTGTATGTGCAAATGTGGTAAGACTGAAATTGGATTGATTGTTATTTCCCATGAACTGGTTTTGCAACTGTATATATGTGTTAGGGGTGCCTCAATATGTTTAATATACTATTCTTGCTAATTTAAAGATGTGTGAAGAATATAAACCATATGTTGGAATGCCTAGACCTCAATGTCAGGATTCAAACTGAGATTGTCATGCCAACTATGTGAAATCTTATCTATGTTTACACTTGAATTGCTCTTGTTTGTGTCTGTTATCCTAAATTGCAATATTGGTGTTGAAAGTGGACATGATGTGAAAATTGCGGCCCTAAGTGCCAATGAATTGACAGGATATATGTGAAATAAAGATTCAAATGAAATGATTAATGAGAAAGGAACAACGCCTAGGTAAGGCGGCCTAGCCGATCGGGCCGTGATCGGACACCATGCCGCTCACATGGTGGTAATATGCTGATATTGAATTCCGAAAAAGGAAAATGAGATGGTGATTGAGGTATATGTCTCAAATGAGGCAACCTAGCCGATCGGGTCATGATCGAACTCCGCTCAAGACAGCGGTGGTATTGCGAACAATGATGAACATATGAAATTCCCCAAACTAAAGTTGTGCAAGTCATGTGGAAGTTGTATGATTCTTTATTTGATGATGTGGTGTTCGATTAAAGCTTTGATTGACTCTTGTGATTTTTTTGTTCTTGTATGATAGTTCTTTCTAATCAAATGGTGTTTTGTTATATATACTAGTACTATTCCATGGTACTAACGTCCTTTTTGCCGGGGGCGCTACATTTTTAAATGAATGTAGGTGGCTCCATAGCAGACAGTGCCGATCGCGCGTAGCGGAGTATCCTTCTCTCATAGTCTTGGTGAGCCCCTTTTTCCTTCAAGGGGTTATGTTGCACATCTTTTGTTGTAGATTTCCACTTTTGAGGTATAACCGGGGCCTTGTTGGCGGCGTTGTCATACTTGTCTTTTGTATCTTTGGAGGCTTCGTAGACGATTGTGTGGGTTATGTATGGGTGCTAGATGGGTCTATGAACTAGGTTGTAATCTTAAACTCTTGTTTCTCTAAATCGTAACTTTATGGAATCTTGGAAACTTAACTACGGTTTAAGGTTGTGTTATAAATGATCTAACATTATTGAATATACAATCTTTCCCATTGTCTAAATAAACGAAAGAATAGTTTCCTTAATCATATTGAGTTGGGTAGAAAGTGTTTGATAAGTCTTGCTCAGTTGGGTTCACTCGATTGAGCGCCGGTAACGCCTCCCGTGTTGGGGCATGACAAACTTGGTATCAGAGCCTAAGGTTTTAAAGTGTTCTAGGATGTCTCGGAGCCGTATCTAGTAGAGTCCTTCTTATCGGTGTGTAGTCGACCATATCTATAAGTTGGAGGTTACTTGGGCATTTAGGAATAACACCCTTCTTTGATATTCTGGATTGTGCGGCAAGACTTGTTACGAAACTATTCCCCCTCTAACTAGTGGATTGTTCTACTTTCATTAAATGACACCTAAGAAGAAAGAGAGAATTGGCCAAGAAGCCAATGCCACCTCAGGAGTGGCTGATGACTCACTGCTTGATACTGCAGAGCAGAATACCTCCGTTCCTACATTGCGGAGGGTACCACTTTCCCTCCCATTGATACTCCTGTTCCGCCACCAGCCCTAAGCTTCCGGTCCTGGTATTTTTGATGGGGATCTTAGGGGAGCTATTTAGATGTTGACCCAACTAGTGGCCTCTCAGGCCCAGATATCAACTATTGCGCCCAGTTCATCCAGCCAGCAAGGAGATTCCACAAGTTCCAGGGTGAACAAATTTCTTCAGTTAGACCCTCCAGTGTTTACAGGTGCCAATCCAGAAGAAGACCCTCAGAATTTTATTGAGGAGATGCACAAGACCCTCAGGGTTATGCCTGTAACTGAGATACAGGGAGTAGAGTTGGTTGCCTACCGTCTGAAAGGAGTGGCCTATTCGTGGTTTGAGTTGTGGAAAGATTCCCATGAGGAGAGGATCCCTCCAGCGAGGTGGAGCGAGGTTGCTGATGCCTTTATAGATCATTTCCTGCCTACTGAGACAAGGGTAGCCCATGCAGCAGAGTTTGAGAATCTGAAGCAAGGTAGTAGAAGTGTGTGGGAGTACCACATGGAGTTTGCTCGCCTGTCCAAGTATGCCATTCATATGTTTCCCACAATGGAGGCCAGGGTGCACCGGTTTGTTCAGGGCCTTAGTCCTTTAACTATTAATGAGTCTTCTACGGCTGCATTGAACTCTGACATGAATTATAGGAAGATGGTAGCATTTGCTCAGGCCACAAAGAACCATAAACTGAAGAATAGAATAGAGAGAGAGGGTAACAGTAAGGCCCGGTCTACGGGCAACATGGGAGAGTCACTAGGTAGGGGAGGATCAACTTTCAGGGGAGGATCATGGGACGGTCCCAGTCTGTCACTAGATTGTTAAAACTGCTTAATAAACAACCTTCTCCATGTGCATAAGAGATCCTGTTTTTAGGACTATACGTGCATTTGCTTCATGTTGCTCAAATAAAATGGGTTAAAACAGTTTCACACATAGGTATCATATTCCAGCAACAATCTATATAAAATCACCTGTTCACTTAGATCAGCATGCCTGTAGGTTGAAACAACTTCAAATTGTTTAAACATCCCCTATAACTATGATTGCATATAACCCATGCCTAGGCAAACCTTAGGTGATTAATGTCCTTGTAAAAACTAAGAAACTATGCTCTGATTATTTATAAATTGCTCAGGTTTAACAGGTTTTTAAAATCAGTAGGCAAACTGATTAAGGTTCTGCCACTTCGTTTTAAGAACAATGTTGCATCTTCTGTGTTTTGATGCTCACCTAGATACCCTGTTCTAGGATTTCTATGAATTACCTAAAAATCTGTGTTTGAGATGTGCTGCTTATTTGCCTATGTATATGTGGAGGAAAACACGAGCCTTCTATCTGCTTCCTATGTGAAAGTCCTATGTGTTATTTGTTGTCGTCTAGATTTTTGCCCTTTTAAACACCTTAGGATTGTCTAGAACTGCCTAAGTCTAGAGGTCCTAAACTCCTCTGGGACCACAAGGAAGGGATAGGTAACAACACGCTTAGAATTCGTTAATCAAATTCGCTTGTATAACCACTAAGGGGAGGGTAATGGGTAGTAAAAGGGTATGATAACCTGCGGTAATGTCACGTGTATCCCCTCTAGTTGAGGAGGATTATCGGGCATTGCACAGATTGATCCTATAACCATTACTAGAACCCATACACATACCTTAAGGTTATGACGTCTCAGTTGGATCCTTCTCTTGAGGAGGAAATAAGTAGGAATATCTAGACTTTATATCTTCCTCGGCCTCCTAAGTCACTTTTTCCATATTATTGTTTCTTCAAAGTACTTTCATCTCGGTCTTCGAATCTGTCCGTCTAATATAGCAATGGGTGTTTCTTCATATGATAGTTGCGGTGTGACCTGAACGTCATAAACTAACACAATTCTACAAGGATCTCCGATACATTTACAGAGCATAGACACATGAAAGACTGGATGTACAGACTCCAAGTCCGAAGGCAAGTCTAATTCATATACTACCTGGCTTACTTTGCGTATGATCCTTTATGGTCCCATGTACCAAGGGCTACGTTTTCGTTCTTTCCGAACCTCATAACACCTTTCCTCGGTGATACCTTTTTGGAATACCCAATCTTCAACCCCGAACTCTAACTCTAGTCGCCACATGTCAGAATATGACTTCTGATGACTCTGAGCTGTCAATAGTCGATCCCAGATAAGCTTTACTTTTTCCATGGCTCGCTGAACTAGGTTTGGCCCATGTAATTTATATTCTCCAACATCAAACCACCGTATAGACGACCTACACCTTTGTCCGTAAGGAGCTTCATATGGAGCCATCTGAATGATGGAATGGTAGCGGCAGATGATCATCCCAGCTACCTTTGAAGTCTATTACATAAGCTCGTAACATATCCTCCAATGTCTGAATAGTATGCTCAGTCTGCCCATCTGTCTGGGATGAAATGTTGTACTAAGACTTACTTGAGTTCCCAATCCTTTTTGGAAGGACCTCTAAAAGTTAGCTGTAAATTGAGCTCTTCTATCCGAGATAATAGATACAGGGACACCATACAGTCGTACTATCTCCTTTATATAAAGCCTCGTAATCCTCTGAGGAATATGTAGTTCTAACGGGCAGAAAATGGGATGACTTTGTAAGACTACCAACAATCACCCATATCGAATTGAACTTACGCTGGGTATGAGGTATACCTACAATGAAGTCCACATTGATTACTTCCTATTTCCAAGTCGGAATCTCCATAGCTTGCAATAACCCACCGGGTTTCTAATGCTCAATTTTAACCTACTGACAATTAGGGCACTGAGCAACAAACTTTGCTATATCCTTTTTCATTCCGTCCCACCAATACACTTCCCTGATATCATGATGCATCTTTGTTGCTCCTGGATGGATAGAATAACCAGAATAGTGAGTTTCTCCCATAACCTACCGAAGTAGCCTTGCAACATTAGGCACACATAATGGACCTCAATATATGAGGACCCCATCTCTTGTAATTTCAAATGGCATCTTCTCTTTCTGAAGGGTGGTATCCCTATAATGAACTAACACAGGATCCTGGTACTAGCGTTCCTTTACTTCAGTTACTAAAAAGGATATTGACGTATCCTTAAGAGTAATTCCAGTATCACCCGAGTCCGGTAACTGAACTCCAAGACTAGCTAGCTGATGAACCTCATGGGCTATTCCCCTTTTTTCTGGCCGTAAGTACGACAGGCTACCCATAGATCTATGGCTGAGGGCATCGGCTACTACATTCACCTTCCTCGGATGGTATAAAATATCAACGTCATAGTCTTTAAGTAGCTCCAACCATCTCCTTTGACGTAGATTCCATTCTTTTTGCTTGAAGATGTACTGGAGGCTCTTATGATCTGTATAGATATCAACATGAATTCCATACAAGTAGTGCCTCCACATCTTTAGTGCATGAATTACCGCAACTAACTCTAAATCGTGGGTCGGGTAGTTCTTCTCCTGTTTTTCTTAGTTGTCTAGTAGAATAACCCACAACACCGACGGAGGTTCGTAGCTTCTCTATTTGGCAAGTAATTACAGGAAACTTGTTACAGAATTTTCTTCTCCTCTAAGCACCTTCGACCAAAATAGTATGTGGTGTCTCGCTTAATGCTCCGGAATAACATAAAGAAATTTATGATGCAAGTAAGTTGAAGAAAGGTTGCGAATAAGTATAAATAGATATGTGTAGGTTGCATAGCTAAAGTATGGTAGAGCGATAAGGTTTTAGGAAGACAGGAGGAAGGATAAGAAAAGATGAGTGAAAAGGTAACAAGAATAGATAAATCCTTGGGAAAAAAGTTCAAAAGACAGATGATGGTTTCTCTAAGTTATAGAAGGCTCAGTATAGCCCGAATGAACTCAAAGGAGGATAAGACTAGTAACGCTTAGAATAAGATGAAATACTGCCCTAATAGTGAGATAAGGGCGTAATTATGATGGATAAAGAATGAAGTTCGGGCCTTCGAAGAGGGGAATTTACTGAATTGTAAAAGATTAGGATACCCATGTAAGTTAACTTAGAAGGGAACTAAGTTTCAATGGACCAATCCTTGCAAACAGAGTTTCCAGGTATTGAAGGATAGATTAACTTCAGCACCAGTTCTACCACTCCCAGAAGGGACCGATGGTCATGTTATCTATTGTGATGCTTCAAGCGTTGGATTGAGTCATGTGCTGTATGAGGCCACTTTTGACACGGCCCAAACCGATGGACCGCGACAGGTGCCTGAGTCCTACTTGTCAAATACCCCTAAGTATGCGTCTAGGATATGAACATGTATAACATCTGCTGAATTATGAAAATAACATATATGAAGGAATATTTCCTTCAAGGTATATGTACGTATACATGCATAATACAGTGGGCGAGCCAGAAAGGTTGCTATAGACAACTACACATCCAAAAACTGAAAGCCGTCAAGGCCACATACAACCCAACTCGACATATTGTCTACATACCTCTAATAGAAACATAACTGTACAAAGACGGGACTGAGCCACGTCAAACCCATATACATACATACACATATACATAAACACACACACACACACACACACACACACACACACACACACACACACACACACACACACACACACATATATATATATATATATATAAACATATCATACTAATATCAAAAGCAGTTCCGGATCAAGTGGAGCACGCCAACTCTCGCTGATCAGGGATCCTAAGAAGGGGGGCCGTCAACTTGCCTACCTGCACCTGTGGGCATGAAACGCAGCCCCCATGAAATAGGGCGTCAGTACGAAAAATATACTGGGTATGTAAGGCATGAAAATTAGTACGTAACAGACATTGTTGAAACATGGAATATAGAGACACGTCTTTTAATCTGAATAACTTTGTAAATTCTAAAACGTTTATAACGTTATGCACATGCATATAAATGTCGTGTCATGCATAGGTATGGGTGTATATAATATCACCAAGCCACTAAGGGCATCCCATCATATCGTCTCGGCCACTGTGGGCACATTATCAACATATACCAGCTGATCCGATGGTGGTGCGTATATAACACCATAACCTTTTCCTATATCCCGTATACATATACATACATATATACGCGTATATAACACTGTCTAAGTCATATTTCAGCCATTGTGGGCAACATCATCATCATATACCAGCTTATCAAGTGGTGGTGTGTATATAACGCCGTAACCTTTTTCCCGTATCCCATATAAATATAATATACATTTATACGCGTATATAACGCCATCTGGTCATGGGTCAATGCACATGTATAAATGGGTGAAATGCATGAAAAATATGTAATAATCTCAATATTCCTTCCGGACAACCTTTTTCAACTGCGTATTATTCTGAGACTTATGAACAAAAGATAATAATAATTCCCATGGGGAATCAAGAATATAGACATCCCTACTATTTCTATGACTAGAGTAATTTATAGAAACTGTGTATTTGCTCGTTTCTTCAGTATAATTTGGATCATGCCAAAATAAAGAAGGGAGGGCCTTAACATACATGTTCTTGAAATTATTTGAATGAATCTGCTTCTGCGAAATTTGGACAAAATCTTCTAAAGAAGTCAAATTTATGTTCAAGGAATTTCAAATTTTTGGACGAAATGACTTCTGTTCTCACGTTTTTGGTTTGGATTTCTTTGAAATTGCAAGAATTGCATGCTTCTTCCTAACATGTTCTTGGCTTTAAGACAAAAGTATGTTGATGTTTTGAAGCTTTTACAAGCCAAAGCCTAGGCTGATTGTGTTAAAGAGTAATAGTCTTTAAGACTTTTACTTAAGTTACTACTTTGTTAATATTTCAAATGAGTCTTTGGTAGTCACCTCATTATAATTCAATATGAGTCATTTCTTAAGTAGTGGCCTTCTGCCACATTTTCTTAGGGGGGAAAGATTTAATCTTATCCACTTATTATTTAATCGGGTAATGTCATGTTATCCGGTAATTAATCAATTACCCGCATAATTTAAAAATTATCACAAATTACTTAAAATTCTACTTATTCTTAATATACATTATATATACTTTATGTATTATACTACCGTGGTCATATGTTACCTTGCATGGTGCTGGTTCATATTTTATCGGGTATTATTGCTCGACCCATATTTTATTCCAAATTGGCCATTTTCAACGAGACTCGTTTTCTTTAATCCGTGTACCCCTTTATCCTTCATAACACTTATTTATCGCTTGTTATAAATAGCGT